TCCGCATCACATGGCATTAGTACTTAGTACTAAATACAATTACCATTTTGTGTAAAAACAAAAGTTTATTTTTAGAAAAACTTAAATTTACAATTGAAACTTAGACATAAGGATTGAAATTTCTAGAGAAGAAATACATACTTAAATAAAACGGAGTTTCTTTCTCTTTCATGAAGTATATTGGCTTGCAATCATCAGTGATTTGCATGTCTGACCATGTCTTGTCTGTCCAAAATTCAGTTGGTTAGTTGTTTGGTGCAATACGTGGTTTTAAGGGTGCCTTAGCATTTTATAGTTGCGGCTTGTTCATAATTTTATTAAATACTTGGATCTACATTAATTTCAATGTAAACGGGACAGAGGAAGAGCTTTAGATGCGTCGCGAAAAGTTTCCGCCACCGTTTCCGCCGCCATTATTTCCCATACCACCTCCTCCATTGCCGCCGTTACCTCCGTTACCGCCGCCGTTGTTTACATTAACTCCTCCTCGGGTCTTGCCATCATAGAAAAGCTCAATATAGCGGGAGCCCATCTGCTCTCGATGCCGCTTCATGGCGACCTGAGAATCCTCATAGGTGTCGAAGTAGGCATCAGCAGTGCCGCTGTGCAGACCCTTTTTGTTGTAGTTGATACGCACATTGGCTGGCCGGATGGGCTCGAAGAACTACAAAGAAAAGGTGATTAGTATCTCCAACATAAGGTCAAATCACAACAAGGAATTTACCTTGAAGACATCATTTTCAAAAGAGGTGTACGGAAGTCCTCGCATATGGATGGTGTAATGTTCGACATCATTTCCACGGCCTCCGCCAATTGGCCCAAAGTTACCGCCACCTCCAGAGGTGTTTCCGCCGCCAAAGTTGGAGCCATTGTTGAAGCCACCACCTCCGCCGTTGTTGCCACCTCCGAAGTTCGAGTTCCCGTTTCCATTGTTGTTGTTTCCTCCAAAGTTTCCAAAGCCAGAGTTTCCAAAGTTGCCGCTGTTGTTGCGACCGCCGCCGATTGGTCCAAAGTTGCCGCCGCCGCCGCCACCTGACGAGCCGAAGTTGTTGCCGCCATTATTGAAGCCTCCCCCGTTGTTGCCACCAAAGTTGGATCCTCCATTGTTGCCGAAGTTGTTGCCTCCTCCAGGGGAACCAAAGTTGCTACCACTGTTGAAGCCTCCGCCGCCGTTGTTGTTGCCGCCAAAGTTACCGCTTCCATTGTTGCCGAAATTTCCAAAGTTTCCTCCGTTGCCACCGCCTCCGTTGTTGCCACCAAAGTTGCCAGTGTTCCCGCCTCCGCCGCCAGCGTTGCCGCCGCCAAAGTTGCCGAAATTACTGGGTCCAGAGTTGTTTCCGAAATTCCCGCTATTTCCCGGGTTGTTGCCAAAGTTTCCGGAGTTCATTAGGCTGGGCAGATTGTTAAAGCCGAGCATGTTATTAGCGCCAACACCAAAGTTGCCATTGTTGCCCCAATCTATGTTGTGGTATGGATAAGGTTACATTAGTAATGCATTTTAGTTAAAAATTTAACTTAGGAGCTGAAAAACTATAAGAAAGCTATAAGTGTAAGCTAGGAATAGATATCGGATACTAAATTATATCAAATTAATTACTGACCTTTAAGAGGTCATGGCATTAATGCAAGATATTTGTTTCCTTTTACAGTTAATAGTAATGCAATACACAGTAATATTAAATAAATAAAAATTTTACCATTGCGTCCGCCGCCGAAATCGTTGCCACCTCTATTGGCGCCACGATCACGGATATCATATGGGCCTGGGCGTCCACCGTTGCCACCGCCGCCGCCTCCGCCCGTGGCTCTCTTCATCTCAGCCACTGAGCTGCGGAATATCTCAATATACCTATACAAATTAAACCAGAAAGGATAAGTATATTTAAAGTTGTAATTGCTTGGTAGATGCTAGGGTCGGTGGCATTATCTTTTGATCGTTAAGTGTAAAATTCGTAGAATCAAACCATAAATGCAAATGCAATTTAAAAATCTGAATAAGCGCTTCACAAAATTATCGGTTATAAAGACTTTGAGTTCATATTAAATGTTGTTAGAATAAGCTCGTGTTGGCGCGTTTTCAAGTACAAGTATTTAGAGCCCCACCAGACCCGTAGCTATGGGAGATTTCTTGCTAATTGATTGATAGTCGGTGACTGAAATAGAAATTATTTATGATATAAAGGTAGTTTTTTTATTTTTAAATTTTATGAGTATATTCTATGAATAATAATTGGTGTTCTATTTGCCCTTGTGTGTTTCAACAAGTTCACAATTGATTACCACTTTTAAATATTTTTTCTGTTTTTTTGTAGTAGAGATATGATGAATAAGAAACCCACCTGTGCCCAATTTTTTCCCGATTTCGGCCCAAGGCTTGTTCAGTGTCATCCTGGCTTTCGAACTGAACAAAAGCTTCCCCAGTTGCACGACCCCTTCTGTCCATAACAAAAAGTATGCCCTCCCGATCCGTTTTGATTTCCAACCCTGCCCATGACGATAACCAACAAAGATTTATACAAATATATAGATTTATATATATATACATTATGCAGGAATATTAAGCTTAGATAGAGAGAAACAGAAATACAGAGGTTGATAAATAAGGTTACAGTTTGGTTCTTGCATCGCAGAACTTTGGCAAGTATTCGGAAAGAGCAAATTTTCTTTTAAAAAATAAAAATTGTATAAATGCAGCCGCGTAAACAAGGTGGAAGGTGTTGCAATCGAGGAGTCCCGACCACAATGTACACTTCAGAACCCAGTTCCAGAAACTCTCGTAGATGTGTGAGTGATGATCGGAAATTTACCCGAAAATTCATTGGGATATGCCAACAAACTAAAATGAAGTAAAGATTTACCGGACCAAACGGACGTGAATTTATGGGGGAGCTGCGTGGACCGCCAACCCCACAACAACCACAGAGGCAGGGGCCCAAATCGAATGTAGAGTTTATGCAAGTGTGTAGTTAATATGAAAAGTGTAAAGTTGAAAAAGGGGCCGCAGACCAAATCTCAACGAAGTGCAAAAATAAGTACATGCGGTCAACCACTGTTTGTTCCTTGAGGGTACCTAGAGTACGGAAAGTGTGACAGAGTAGTGGAAACTCACCCGAGAAGAACTCCTCGATCTGTTGCTCGGTGACGGCATATGGCAGACCACGGAGTTTCACCACAAAGGCATTCCCATGGCCGCTGATCTTTCGCATGGCTTCCTTGGCCTCTTTTGGTGTGGCGGTGAAAACTGATCAGAGAGAGGAAAGGAAATTATAAGAATATATAATAGTTGTTATATTTTTGTTCTTTTGAATGTCACCTTAAAGACCTTGATAATACATATATTATATATTTTTTGTTGCAATTATTCTTGATTAAGTTTCGAGATAATATTGCGGTTGTAACCGCCAATGACTAAGTGCGATTCTTTAGCAAACCGCTATACTTTCAGAAACCTCAATTTTAATTTAAAAAATAATAAAATAAGTGCAAAACCAAACCGGATTTTAAAATCCCGTGCTTTTCCTAATCAGATAATCATTTCCTTACAGTAATTCTCTTAGGGTTGTAAAATGCTTTAATTATTAAAAACGGAAGCGATTAAGTGACATTTTTTGAGTCATGTTTCCGAATCGTCTTAATGGTGGCGATTAACAATCAAATTTATGCCAAACAACGAAATATGAATATGAAAACTGTTTTTAGTGAATAAAAAATAGTAGAATAGGTAATTAGAATGCCCTGATACTTGTAAAATTTAACGAACTAATGGTAGAAAAGACAAAGATTTCACATAAATAAATCTAATAAAAAAGTATCTATCTGCTGAATAATAGTAATTTTAGGTACAGTCAACTCCATTAACAAACCCTCAATGTAGCGGTGTCCCATGCTGGCCTTGTTTAGCTTCCGCGCCTCCTCGACGTCCTCCTGGCTGGCCACCTCCACATAGGCCTCGCCAGTATTCTTGCCATCCACCCGGCTGGTTACCAGATGAATGCCCTGCGAGCCGTTCGTCACGTTCACATTCTCCAAGAAGTCAAGGATCTCTTTGTGCGTGGCGGACCAAGGCAGGCCGCGCAACCGAACAAACTTGGGGCTTTCACCAACGTTCTCGATCTTCACATTGCCGCAGTCGCCGTCATATTGATCATCATCGTCCTGCTGCTGGTTACTATCGTCGTTGTAGTTGTCGCCATTGTCCTGCTGGCCGTAATTATACTGCACGTCAGCGTTCGCCATTTTCTGGGAAGGAGATGGGGAACGTGAATAAGCCGGATGTGTCAAGTATCGTTAAGCATAAGATTTCGGTTCTAGTAGTTCAATTATTGTAAATTAAAACCAAGCAAAATGCCTGGCAAATCCGCCGGTTAATTAATAGCTGCGACGCCTTCGAATTCTAACACAAATTTTCGCACCGCGTTCGCCATTTTGGATTTCATCCACCCTCGCACAACGCAAGAGGTTATTGCAATGCTTTTGCACAATATGTACGCGTGAAACCAGTTGCAGTTTATACCGCCTCGACTCAATTACCTTTTCTTAATATCTTGCAACTTTATGTAGCCCCCGTTCCTTATCCAGATAGTCTATTTTTCACGATTTTTCTGAGAGATTTCCCGGAGAGCACGCGTCCAATTTTCCTCTAGAGATGTAAGAAATATATCGATATTTTATATAAACAAAAGAAGCTGTTCACGATATTTTCTAGCCCTTATATCGGAATATCGATATCAATATCGCCGCGTTTTGCTATTCTGCTTATTTGGCCAACTACCACCAGTAGCCAGCTTTTTTATTTTTTAAATTATTATTTATGATTTCCCGATGACGGAAGTATCGATTTTGCACACATTTTTAGGCTTCCAAAATTATTAATTTTAATAAATTCAGAGTCGAAAACTACAAAAATACCGCAAATAAAAATGAGCTTTTCCGTTTTTGACCATGGTCACACCGCTGGGGAACTTTCACAGTATTTCTGGTATATTCGTAATTCTTTTGGTATGTTTTTCCGAGGCCGGCCACGGTCACCCTGTGCACGAGGCTTGTTTATTGGGCAAGAAATTTAATGATTCCTGTAATCTTTGTACACTTGCGTGAGTTGCCAAACACAGGACACATTTAAATTCCGTTCCGGAAACCGCCTACAACCAACTTGTATATATCCAGAAAACACCCGTAGCAGCAGCAGAACAGCGACGGTTGTCGCGGGCAGAGCAACCGCAGAAACACCTCTTCGCTCCGAATTCAAGCGACTCGGGGAGCGTGTCGTCTATCTTAGTCGTGCAGCAACAGCAACAGCAGCAGCAGTGGCGGAGAAGCAGTAGCAGCCGCAGCAGCAGCAGTGTCAATTAGTAGTTTCGCATACCACCTCATTTGAACACCGCATACCACACCACGCCACACACCATACGGCTCTGCCACCCCCGCCCGCGTATCGTTTCCCCCGTCGTCCCGTCGGGTCCGTGTTATACAACAAAATTGTTCCGTGTTCATATCGTTACGCCGGCTAAAGTCGCGCAAACTGCTGACCAGGCAGCGTTATCCCCATCCCGGCTCCGGTTTATTTGCGTGCGACCTGGTCCTAGAGGAGAAAGCGGTTGTAACTGTGTGTGCGAACTGAAACTGGCTTTAGAACTGGTCCGGACTAGCAGGTCATCGCCGTCGTAAGAGGAGCCCACACAGCAAGGGCACAACCGCAATTCACAAGCAGCCCGCAGTAGAAGTAGAAGCAGAAGCAGAGGCAAAGCGAGCAGCTCCACCGGATCCACTATGAACATAGACGACTACGAGTCACTACCCACTACCAGCGTGGGAGTGAACATGACGGCGGGAGGAATTGCAGGCGTGCTGGAACACTTGGTCATGTATCCGCTGGACTCCGTCAAGGTGAGCGCCCTTCCAGCGAACCAGCTGGTAACCGGAGGAGCGTAAACAAGCAGACCTAACCTCACAAATGCGCGTACACAATCGAATTTTGTGAGTGCCAAGTGCCCACTGCTTAGGCATAATCGTGATGTAATTCCTCGGGCACCTCGAGTGCAGCCAAGAGCTCTTGGGGCTTCGGTTTTTGGGAGCCATAGCCACTGCCACTTTTGTGTTTATCGGAGCACGTTCCATTGGTTTATGCAGCGCCGATAAGATTAGCCGCACTGCTTGTGACAGTCGGCATGCCCCTATCATTCCATTATCTCTTACCGAGCAGGTTGATCTTTTACTCTAATGTCGGTGGAGCCAAGTGATTCGCCACCTATGCATATGCAAACATATCTGACTGCGTCATGTACTAGATGCATATGTAAATGCCGCGTGTGACAGTGCTGCTTAGTATTGACCAATTCTCGGTCCGCCATACCCCACTCGGGTCTATTGATTTTCGTAAGCTGTGGCCCACACATGTGTCATCAAATGGTGCGGTGACAGCCGGCAGGCAGTTTGGTGCCAGCCTAAAGCCTGACCGGGATTCCCGGCGTCATTATTAGAGTCTCCCCCCAGTCACTTTGACGAGTTGCGGGAGCCAGCGCAAAGAACTTTTAATTGAGAAACGGCAATCGAGGCATTTTAATTCGCATTATTTTGCGTAGGTTTATATATAATAACCAGCGCAGCGTTGTCATTCTGATTTCACACTTTGTCCGTCTTATCAGTGGCACTCAATAAGGGGGCTGCTGGCGCAATGATCGGATCTATGAATCATGCCGCCGCCTACTCCCGCTCATCGCGAAGTTCTATCTGACATTAATGTAAGGTTTTCTCTACCTTCTATCAGTTCGTAGTACCATTTAATTATGTTTCCATTGCTCTCCAGACTGTTTTTCACCTTGAAATGCCTGTTGACTTGTGATTGATAGCAGCAAGATATATATATAGTATATATGAATAAGGTAGTGGTGCTATCCGGGAAATCTTATCGCTCTCGCAAAGCCTACGTCCCCCGTAATTTACAACTTGGATGCTGCAGCTCTGTGGCTGACGGGCACGCCTAGAAATATATATGCAATCAAGTGCATATGTAAGCGTGTGTATTACGTTGACGATTGCAAATATATCAGCGACTTGCTTATATATCAGCGAAAGTTTTTCCCCAGCAATGCAAATAGTATATATTTATTTATATATTTCATTCATATCGGTTAATACTATTGCCTGTGTGGTTGAAAACAAAAAAGTAATTGCTTATGGAGAATACTTAAATGAAGACCACGATAACAATAACTTTTTATAAAGATTTCATCACAAATTTAGAAAATTCATATATGTAATTTGAAAAATATTTTAACTATTTGGCTGTTCCAATTCAATTTTCATTCCGCGAAAACAAACTATAAATTCTGTACCTCTTGATTACAAGAATTTCATCATTAGATGAAATTCACATTTTGAGGTCTCGATAATATCATCGAAAGAAGTGGAAAATGGGTAACCCCAGTAATTAGGTTTGTGTTTAAAAAATATATCATGAGTAACAATGACTGGCAGAAGAGCGAGGCTATTCGACTAGGTTCTCTCAGCTTAGATTAACTGTCTGAATGTTTGATGTTGCTATCAGGGGAACCAGTTAGTAGCTTTGACGCACCAGCGATTACCCACTTTATTTTAGGGCAAACGATATAAAATAATACAAACAAGGGCCTTTTGTATAATTCAAAATGTAAATGCAATTATTTTAATCGCTCTATTACTGCCTATTTATAGACCCGCATGCAGAGCCTTTCGCCGCCCACAAATAACCTGAATATATTGTCAACCTTTCGGAACATGGTGACACGTGAGGGTCTTTTAAGGTAAGCATTAGCCAAGAAACACACGATTGGTCATATGACTTACGCCTCCTTGTGATCCTTAGACCCATTCGTGGAGCCAGCGCTGTGGTCTTGGGCGCTGGTCCAGCGCACTCACTCTACTTTGCTGCCTACGAAATGACCAAGGAGGTGGCGGCCAAGTTCACATCAGTGAGCAACCTCAACTATGGTAAGTTTTGAGTAGCAACTAAGCAAAACCATCGACCCCTAACAACGATCGCCTTTTGCAGTGATTTCGGGAGTGGTGGCCACACTCATACACGACGCCATTTCCAGTCCCACGGACGTGATCAAGCAGCGCATGCAAATGTACAACTCGCCCTACACATCGGTGGTATCCTGCGTCCGAGACATTTACAAGCGGGAGGGCGTTAAGGCCTTCTACAGAGCCTACGGCACACAGTTGGTAATGAACCTACCATATCAGACAATACATTTTACCACATACGAGTTATTCCAGAACAAAGTAAGTGCAAATGAAAATCCATATGCTTTGGCAGCAAGAAATAACGCGTCGACTCCTTCTTTGCAGTTAAATCTGGATCGAAAGTACAATCCTCCGGTGCACATGGCGGCGGGAGCGGCAGCTGGAGCATGTGCGGCGGCCATTACCACGCCCCTGGACGTAGTGAAGACGCTATTAAACACTCAGGAGACTGGTCTGACGCGCGGCATGATCGAGGCCAGCCGAAAGGTGAATATTGCTCTAAAAACACTTTCAAGTTGCCCCTATTTTTTGTGCTCACCGATCTATGAACTTCCTTCAGATCTACCATATGGCTGGACCATTGGGCTTCTTCAGGGGCATGACTGCCCGTGTGCTCTATTCGATGCCCGCCACGGCTATATGCTGGTCCACGTACGAGTTCTTTAAGTTCTATTTGTGCGGCTTGGATCGGGAACAGTACAAATCGTCAATTGCCGGACGCTCGGAACCCCGCAAAGCGGACTACGTGCTGCCCAAGACCGATGACGAGACGATGAGCGATCGCGACAGGGAGACGGTGAAGGATACCACTGCGACCCTTCACTCCGCTCCCACCTCGGTGAACGCCTCCGGTGCCATTAAGACGGTGTGTGAGCTGTCCACGCGACCCGTCGCGCCCACAATTAACCTGCATACACGGCACACGGACGTCGAGAGTCCGTACGAGCGACGCGGCTTCTCCACGTAGGCAGCACCGGTGGGCGTGGCCGCGAGCGAGGCCTGCGTTCGAAATGTTTGCAGCAGCAGCGACAGCTAAACCTAAGCGTAGCTATTAGTTGGCGGTCGGGGTCGGGGACGTTGGATCTGGAGACTGTTGGTAGGTGGACGACGACACGGTGTTTGAAACACCTGCGGGCGCTCCACTGACCAGCCACGTTCACCTCCAGCCCCCTGTCCTCAGCTGCTTGTATGAATACTCTGCGAGGAGTCGGTGAGAGAGTTTTATCACTCCATAGTCGGAGGTTAAATCGTAGTTGTTGTTCTGCACAAAACTCTCGCTCTCACATCTACGCAAAACTCCAAACACACACACCCAGCCTATACACAAACACAGTTTTAGGAACAATGCGAAATTCTTGTTAAAAATAATGCTAAGATCAAATGTATCTGTTATATTTCGAAATGAGAGAACCTTCCTGTAAAATACTATTACCTATTATTATGTATTACAATTATGATTTACTACATTTATACATACTATTTTTTTAACAAGTTTCAAAGTATATACTCCTATATATTTATGTTGATCGTTGTAAAGTAATCGAGAGCAAAAATGTAAAGCACACACGAAGCGAGCAAGGCTTCAATAATTAGTAATCAAATTACACACACTGAAATCTTCAAACTGAGATGTTACAAAATATAAATGAACCGCAGATACCAGAAAACCAGGGAACGAACTGCATGCCCGTATCTCCCTAGATTGTCCAATTCAGACCCGATCCTAACTATATAGACAGACTCACTGTAACCTAGTAACCCGGCTACAGTTGTACTCGCCGGGGACTTGATCACTCGTTTCTCAACATTGTTTACCCATCAACCATCACTTATTATCTTTCGCGGATCCGGGGACAGCCAGAGTCCCCAGGAAACTCAATAATAATGCATCATATTATTACGTTCACTGTTATTTTTGTTTATATATATGCATAATATATATATATATACGAATGGGCTACACCTACTATTATTAAACTGTAGGGTGTAGCTGTAAAATTAAAATTTTATTGTTAAAGAATTCAAACGAAAACAAAAGCAGAAAGAAAAAACCATTGGCAAAGCAAAAAGACCCATTAAACGGATGATAGAAGAAACATATTGTTTTATGTTAAATGCATTAACAACAGTTGCCTTTTTTATTTTATCCGGATAACAGTTCGATTCGATAGAGCTAGAGGATTGAGTCCAGTCCCCGGCGTCGAGAACGCTGCGACAGGATTGGACGGGGCTTGTAGAGATCATCATTGGTGTACCTTTGCTGCTGGCAGAGCTTCTGGCTGAATCGGCGGGCGTTCAAAGCGTCTGCAGAATAAACAAGCTCATTAATCACTGTTCGCGGAATCACTCTCACAGCGTCGGCAACCGGAAGTCGCGTGGAGAGGCGCTTACCCAGCACGGCTTAGATTTGGTTAACCTCACACACAGCTACATATGTTTATTAATTTGTTAAATTATGTGAATGCATGTTGGAGAGAAATTGGAGATGGTAGAGAAATCACAATGAGGATGAGCATAAGATGTTTTAGTTGCGAGATGTATTAAAAATGTCCGACTTCGTCAAAAGATTCGATGCCCCCTGATCAGTGGATTCCCTCCCATTCATACTAACCGTCCAAACAACTTTATGCGACTACGTACCGTGCTCCTGCTTCTCGAGAGCCTCATTCTCCTTTGAGTTGACGCTTGCCTCAGAGGGCGTGGGCGATGATTTCGGTTCTTCCCGTCGGAGCCTTTTCGTGGGGCTGCCAAAGGTACTACTACTACCCAGGCTGGCAAATAGCGGTGGTGGTGTCGATTCCCTTACGACTTGAGGCTGATCCTGGAGGCTGTTACATCTACGCTTGACTGTTCTCCTGCGAATCTCACGTATGTGAGAGGCCTCTACCTGGGCATTGTCCTCGCTAAGCTGGTTCACCAGATTCTGGCCATCCTCAATTAGTCTATTGATAAGTTGCAAACGGTGCGTAAACTCATCAGCGTTTTCTTCAAAGTGGGTTACAAGGTCTTCAGCTGGTTCATCATCACTGGAGCTAAGAACTGGTGTAGCGGGCATATTCTCTGGTTTCACAGCCTCTTTCTGAATAGCCTCTGTTAAGATTGCCCCAGAAGGTTCTGAGGTTCCGGTTTCTGCAGGAGCCGCTGATATACACTCAGCTTCAGCTAATGGCTCTTCTGGTCCATCACCGTGATTGCATTCCTTGTCAGGAGAATTCGGTACGGATTCAGCCTTTTCAGGATTTTGAGGTTCTGCACTTAACCGATCCTCTTGGGTAGCAGGCTCCTCAGTCTGATCTACAATTTTTTCAACCACCTCGTCCTTTTTGCTATCTTCCTCCTTCTGGGTCTGGGAACCAGCTGTCAGTTCAATGAAGCTACTCGATGATTGCTGCAGTATGTCGCTGACGATGACGACCCCACTGCTGACAGTGGACGCACTGTCACAGGCGCCATTGCTACCACTGTTATAATTGGAGTTGCCGTTTGTGCCATTGGCATTCTCCACCGACTCGCCCACTTTATCCGGTGCCACCTCTGGCCGGGAGCTCTTTGGTGGACAACCCGAGCTAGGAGGTTTCCCCTCATCGTTGGAGTCGGAGCTCCTGCGCTTATTTAACTTCACCTTGCTCTCTGTGTGATCATCCTGAATCGGTGCTGTCGTGGCGCTGTTAGGTTTATTTCGATCACGATCTCGGCCCCGGCCTTGTTCTTTCCTCTTGGATGAGGACGAAGAGCTGCTGTTGCTGTGGTGGCTCTTACTGTGACTCTCCCTTTCCCTATCCTTATCCCGATCCGAGCGCGACGAAGATGAACTTGATTTGTGTTTCTTGTGCGAGGAGGAGGAAGAGGACTCGTGGCGTGAAGAGGACGTGGAGGACGTCCGCTTGGAGGAGGATGACTCCCGATGACTTTTGCTCGATGAGCTCGTAAAACTCCTGTCGTTTTTTGAGCTACTGCTTCTGTGCTGCGAGCTGGATGAGCGCGATGAGGAGTGCTTGGAACTGGAGCTTGAGGAATGTTTGCTGTGCGATTTGTCCCGACTGCGATCGCGGTCACGGTCGCGATCTCGATCTCTGCTCCTGCGCCGCTGCTTATCATCGGAGTGACTGTGATTCCTTCGTTCCTTATCTTTGTCCTTATTCCGTGAGCTACTCTTGGACTGTGAAGAAGGCGAAGCTGTGGATTCACAGGCTTTGGTGACCTCTGCTTTGGGTGCTTCAGCATCTTCTGGGAGCGCAAATACTTTCGGTTTCTCTTCCTTGACTTCACCTACCTCGGTCTGCGATTCCTGGAGCTCCTGCTTTAAGGGACCATTACATTCCATCGGTTCGGCATTCTGAACAACAGCTTCTGAAAGGGATGCAATGCTGCTTTCTGCAGGTGGCGCTACGATTTGACATGGTTTTCGTTCTGTCTTAAGTTCTGGTGGTGTTGGTGGCTGTACAGGTTCCAGTTTTATTTCTGGAGGTGGTGATGGCTGCACAGGTTCCAACTTGATTTCTGGGGGTGCTGGTGGCTGTGCAGGTTCCTCCTTTAGTTCTGGCGGTGGCGGTGGTGGTGGTGGTGGTGGCGGCTGTACAGGTTCCGGCTCAACATCTGGAGGTGCTGGTGGTTGAACGGGCTCCGGCTCAGCTTTTGGTAATGGTGGTAGTGGTGGTTGTTGAACATACTTTAGCTCGATGCCGGCATTGTTGGCATCGTCTATATTCGCTTTTACCTCCGACATAATGGCATCTTCAATTGAGAGTTCGAGTGGACCACCGTTCGAGCCCGACACGGAACTTCTTCGTTCAGTGCCTAAAAAAATTTAAAATTAACCATTAAATAAACATATTCTGGTAAAAAGACATGGCAAAGTTACCCTCGAAGGTAATTGCATCCTGCTTAATATCAAAGTGCAGTTGTCGACTGCCGTTGTCCACTCCGACAGCGACACTCGCATCGCTGGAGTTCTCGCTAAACTTTGGCATCTGCGCCTCCTCCGATATATTGGCGGGCATGTTGGCTATCAGCTCCACGCTGTTGGTGGAGTGCGCAGCGCGCTGTGCCTCCGCCACGGATCCCGAAGAGGAGGCAATCGTGAGGCGGCTGTCACTGGACACCTGCGAGAGCTGCGACGCCTGCGACACACCATTGATCGAGTCCGAATGATTCAGCAATCCGTTGTTTAGCTCTTTACTCGTGCCAGGTTTATCTTCGCTCAACGGCTCGTACGAAGGTGACGTGTCCTCGTCAGAGTTCCTCTCGTCGTCGACTCCGGGTGGCAGATCGTCGTCCTTACTCTCTTCCTTCAGCTCCGACTTGATAGTGGCCTGGTCCGAGTCCGGACTGATCTGTTCGAGGTCGGTGGGCATCAGCCCATCAGCGCCAGTCTCCACCCTGAGCAGGCTGCTGCCGTTCATGTGGCCAGCAAATGGCGGCAAAGGAGGAGCGGGCAACAGAGGCCCTGTAGGCCTCGGCGGTGGCGGGGGCGGGGTGATGCCCAGGTACTTGTAGACGATGCTCTCGATCTTTGGCTCGAATATGGTGGCGACCTTGGGGTTGACCACCTGGTCCACAATTTGGTCGACGCCCTTGTCCAGCACCTCGGAGCTACAGCACACGAGATGTCTATTTACGTTACCAAATCTTCATCCCATGTACTCACTCTAGGAGGTGCTTGCGCAGCCTCTCCCGCAGTTGCACCTTGTTGGTGTCTGGCGTCCAGTGCTGCTTGGCCAGGAAGTCGTTGACCGCTGTCTCCACGCGGGTGCGCACATTTTGGTAGGCCGGCTTCGTGTCCACGTCCGCCAGGCAACAGTTGAAACGAAACTCGTCGAAAACTCCCTGGGACTTGACCTCAGCAATTAGCGTTTTTATAAATTCGTCCATGTTGTGTTGTTCGATGCATAATAGTGCTGGCACAACACCAGAGCCCTATCGATACTATCGATATTTGGATATTGTTTTCAAAACGATAAATGACCTATTATCTTTGAAGCTTTTCGGTCACACCGGAATCTAAAGATCGGAATCTAATCGCTAAGATTGTTTCTTTATTTGTTTAAAGCTCATTCTCGCGGCGCCATGCAGCTCACTGGCAACCTTAACAATCTCTCCCAAGTGCCTTGCGGATCGGCGCTTGATTCAACCACTGAAAATAATTCCGTAATTGCAAATATGTATATAAACTTTAATGCACATTCATACATATCATATGTACATACATAATTGGTATTTCAGAAAAGCAGCGATTCGGATTTGGAAATTCTGAGTAATGTAGTTGGAGATCAAGACCGAGTCATCTAAAAACTTAAAAGAGCTATTAGACGGAAGCAAACTGAAATAAACGAGCTAGCTGGCACGTTGACAATAGCAGACATTCATTAAGCAAGTGAAAAGGAAAGGACCGGAGTTAAGGAGGATGTAATTAAGTCGCTGAAAACGTCAATCGATGTAATTACATAAAGTAAGGACTTAATCATTAAAGCCCTTCAGAGCCAAGTAATTGAATTGCTAACTTCGTTCGACTTAAGCAAGAAGGAAGCTGTAACCAAGGAAAGCTGTGGGCTAAATGCAAAGCAAACTGAAAGCGCTAATATTAAGACATTGACAATTAAACTTGGACAAAAAAACCATATATTATCCGAATTGGATGATAAAACAAAGAAATATAAAAGCAGGCTAAGAGAGAAAGATGAGCGCATCGCCAAGCTTGAAGCCCAAGCTAAAGTAGATAGTGCCAAACTTAATGGCTTACAAAAGTTTACCGTGAACATTGAGACTAGTCAAGACATGAGTAATGACCTAGTCTTCCTTAACTGCACCAAAATCCCTTCTATTCAATTTGTTACACTTCCGTGGGCCGGTAGCTTTGCTGCAGTTTTCGAGGATCTCCCGTCTGCTGGTCCTGGTTGAATGGTTATACAACGTCGAATCGACGGACGTATCCCATTTGAGACTAAGGCGACGACTGTAAGACCACATTGGACTCGAAGGGTGGGATTTGGTGGGGTCTGTGGAATTTGGGAAAACGACATTCTCTCAAGTCGTGCAAAATGCTTATAAGGCCAAAACCGTAACCGGATATATGGATTTCCATTTAACTACTTCTGAATAGCAACTAAGAAGAAACGTAACATATATTAATAAATACACAGTTGGATACATTGATCTGAATCACTAATGTATATGGAAGCTGATTTTGTCTCTTCATTTACATCGTGATTTCAAATTGCGCGCGTTAAGTCTTACCTGAATGATAGTAATTCCGTACTGGTCACACTGTCTTTTAGTGTGACCGGAGGACTCACGGATGCACTATACGGTCACACAACAGCATTTTTGGCGCACGCGAGGCTTGTTATTTGGAAATTTCTATTTTGTGTTTGGTTTATAGGTAGCGCAATTAATTCACATAATGAAATTATCCGCGGGTTCACACTGCGAAATAGAGGGCGGGGGAGCCCAAAGCAATGCGCTGCTACATTCCGCCGCCGATGTGTCCACCGACGAAGGAGCTGCGGGCAACGCCGAATCGGTGGCATCAGAAGGCCCGGACCCGCAACAGCCCACGGAGCGCCAACCAAAAGCGGCTGCAGCTGGAGATGTTGGGTTGGCGGAACAAGCGGAGCCCGATGCGGACGTGGACATACAGACGCCTACAGGCAAGCACCAGCAACAGCCACGGCGCTCCGCTGTGATCAGTGAGTACAACAATAGAGCGTTCCCGCCTTATGCCGACCATATGCTTATGTGTGTGCGTGTGCGTGTATGCTTGCCGTACGCCTCTGTTTGTCTTTTCAGGGAAGCGCGATCTAATCAATTTACAGTCAAACCTGAGCCCCAAATACATTGGCTTTGCCAACGCCAATTCACCCACGCCGTTATCCGACTCTGACGACACGGTTCGCTCAACACGCCGACGCGCCAACCAAGCAGCTGCGGCCCTCAACAGTAGTAGTGCCTGCGAGACCATTTTCCAGGACAATGCATCACCTAATACCACCAGGGAAACTGACGCAGGCAGCGGCGGAGGCGCGCAGCTGCTCGACCGCGGCGGAAGCCACAGCTACTTGAGCCCCATCGAGAAACTTTTGATCAAGAACGGCTCCAGGTCGCCTAATAGCACAGGCTTTGAGGCGGATGCCGAAGACCAAGGGAGCTCGCACGTTCGAAAGCAGCTAAAGCGGAAAATGAGGCGAGTGACCAAATCAAAGCCGGCTTTGGATATAAATGCCGAGGGCGAGCCCGTACCCGAGGTCCTTGGAGAGTTAGAAGTGAAGAAAGAGTCGCTCGAGAAAGAATGCCCTTCTAATGAAGAGGCCCCAAAAGACAATGGCGAAATTGCGCTCATTATTAAATCCGAGACTGAAACTGAGGCTGAAGCTGAAGCTGTGTCTGCTGTTCAGCTGGATGTTAATCCAAATGATAGTTCCAGATCAAGACCTGAAAAAGTGGAAATGCAAACTAGCGAGTTAACTGAGGCAGAGGCTGTAATCAGCGAAGAATCAAAAGAACTGATATTTGCTTTGCCCATGGCCGCTTCCACAGAGGTGGATATGAAGTCATCACCACCTGACTTGAGTTCTACTGGATTCGAGGTAAATGTCATGCAGAAATCGCCTTCATCCGTAAGCATAGACAGCGCCAAAGGCATGTCCATTGTCACCGATCCCGGATGGCCCACTTATCAAGTGGGTGATCTGTTCTGGGGCAAGATATTCACGTATTGCTACTGGCCGTGCATGGTGTGTCCGGATCCGTCTGATCAGATCGTTGGCAACATGCAGAGTCATCCACATCGCGCGTCCGTGGACAATACTGCGATGCCCATTCAGGTGCATGTGCGTTTCTTTGCGGACAACGGGAGGCGCAACTGGATAAAGGCTGAAAATCTACTGCCCTTCGCCGGTCTCAAGGCGTTCGAGGAGCAGAGAGAGGAAGTACTTGTCAGGCATGGTCCGAAGAGCGCCAAGTACCGGCAAATGATGCCCAAGCGAACGAAGGTTGCCATCTGGCGGCAGGCCATTGATGAGGCACAGATCGTTGCCCAGCTACCTTACGCCGATCGTCTTGAGAAGTTTTTCGAGATCTACGAGACCGTTGTGTAAGTGTACATGTTGATTTACATTTTTTTTTTTTTTTCATTTAGCGATATATTAAATCTGATAATCCGGGAATGACCTATGGTGGGCATGTAATATGTAATCGTAATCTAAAACATCTCTCCTTCCCCTATTTCCAGCACAATTAATAAGCAACGGCGCAAACGGACCAATTCTATGATGCAGGACACCTCGGATGTTGGAAGCAGTCTGTACGACTCGAATGACAACCTGCACAACAGGCCATTATTGCTTGACTTAAAAAGAGAGCGGTCTGAGTCCCCCTTTAGTCCCGCCTTCTCGCCCGTTAAGGTCAGGAACGAGATGCGGGCCAAGCGACGTAAGCTGAGCGACGGCAACGAGGCTGAAACTGGCACTTCGAATTCCCTGGAGGTGACCCCATTACCAGGCCAGGCCCAGACTGTAAGTAGCACTAATCCGATCCTCACGCCGGACGCCAGTATCTACGCGAATCCCGAGTTCGGTCAGCTCTTCGATGCCGTTAAGGAATACGTAATGGTGCACCGATCGGAGGAAAAGGTGGAGAAGGTTTTGCTCGGCGTGGTCAGCAACATTTGGTCGCTAAGGTACATCCAGATGCGTGAGCTAGAGCGGGACATAATCAGCGGCGAGATGGATCAGCAGCTGGGCTCTTCTGTGTTAGAGCGTGGTCGGGGAGTTGGCACCATTAAACGTCTGTCGAATCGATTGAAAACTCTGATGGTACGACGCAGTATGACCCCTGTCGTGGCGCCCAGTCCTACGCTCACGGAGCCATCGGCGGAACGCCGGTCCTCGGAGGTGCCGAAGGCTAAAAAGTCTCTCAACCGACCCATTGAAGAGGTGGTCCAGGACATCTTACAGCTGGACAGCAAGTATCTCTTTCGCGGACTCAGCCGCGATCCGGTGTGCAAATACTGCTACGAGACGGGCTGCCACCTGCAACGATGTTCGAACGGCTGCAACAGTTGGCTGCATGCTGACTGCTTGGAATGCAAGAAGTCGGGTCACAAAATGCCCAAAGCAGGAAGTCGAAAAATGGCCCTATCTCTCCAACCGTCCACCTCCAAGTCGCCCAGTCCTACCGATTCGGAGCACATAACAGCTGATGCCGTGGTGCCCACTAGCGCGACGGACACTGCAAACAGCGGTCCATTAGTATGCCAGGAATGCGAATCGGGCGAAGTTGAACTCTGTGTTATATGTCACCAGGTTGAATCGCCATCTAATGCGGTGCAAGGGTCGTTGGATGAGGAGGAAAAACCCCAGCTGCCCCAAGCCGTGCCAGAGAACATTCTTCTGACCTGCAGCCAGCCAATGTGTGGGAAGCGTTTCCACACAAAGTGCTGCAAGTACTGGCCCCAAGCCAACACTAGCAAGTCTTCGCCACGTTGCCCGCGGCACGTATGCCACACCTGTGTGTGTCTCGATCCTAGCGGCAAGTTCCAACAGGTTGGAAACTCTAAGCTGGCAAGGTGTGTCCGCTGCCCGGCCACCTATCACCAGGACTCGCACTGCATTCCAGCCGGCACTAAAATGCTCACTTCCACTCACATCATCTGTCCGCGTCACAGCATACCCAAATCGGATGCTCACCTCAACGTAATATGGTGCTGCATATGCGTGAAGGGCGGCGAGCTCCTCTGCTGCGAAACCTGCCCCATCGCTGTGCACGCTCACTGCCGCAATATTCCCATCGAGAAGAGTGAGAACTACATCTGCGAGGAGTGCGAGAGTGGGAGAATGCCACTGTACGGCGAGATAGTGTGGGCCAAGTTTAACAATTTCCGCTGGTGGCCGGCAATCATCTTGCCGCCCACCGAGATACCCAGGAACATATTGAGTAAAGCCCACGGGGATAATGATTTTGTCGTGCGATTCTTTGGTACCCACGATCACGGTTGGATATCGCGGCGCCGGGTTTATCTTTACATTGAGGGCGACAAACTTTCAGGAGATTCTCAAAGGACAAAGACTCTGTTGCACAAAAGTTACAACACGGGCGTGGAGGAGGCGACGCGCTTCCTAAAGATCGTCAAGGAACGTCGGAAAGAACAGGCCATTGGTCGTCAAAGCGCCAGCAAGCTGCATCCGCCGCCCTACGTAAGAATCAAGGTCAACAAGGCGGTGCCGCCATTGCGCTTCACTCTGAATATGGAGGATATAAGTGCTTGCGGGTGCCCGTCCGATGCAGAACATCCCTGCGGCCCCGACTCTGGCTGCATCAACCGCCTGCTGTACAACGAGTGCAATCCTGAAATCTGCCGCGCCGGCCAACGTTGCGAGAACCAAATGTTTGAGCTGCGCAAAACGCCCCTAATGGAGGTGGTCTACATGAACGAGCGTGGCTTCGGACTTGTGTGCCGGGAGCCCATTGCCCAGGGTGATTTCGTGATCGAATATGTCGGCGAGGTGATCAACCACGCGGAGTTCCAGCAGCGCATGTTGCAGAAGCAGCGGGACCGGGACGAGAACTACTATTTTCTGGGCGTGGAGAAGGACTTTATAATCGATGCGGGACCCAAGGGCAACCTGGCGCGGTTCATGAATCATTCGTGCGATCCGAACTGCGAGACCCAGAAGTGGACCGTAAACAGCATCCATCGCGTGGGGCTGTTTGCCATTAAGGACATTCCTGCGGTACGTAAAAAAAACAAAAACCTTAATGAACATATTAATCAATAGTATAATTTCCATGGGCAGAATACCGAGCTTACCTTCAACTATCTTTGGGATGATCTAATGAATAACAGCAAAAAGTCTTGCTTCTGCGGGGCAACACGCTGTTCTGGGGAGATCGGTGGCAAGCTCAAGAATGTCGCAGCTAAGGTGAGTAAGATGCCAGCATATAATCTCAACTAAGAAACTAAGCTTATATTCGCTCTTCAGGAGGCAAAGGGCAAGACCGTCGATAAACTAAAGCAGATACGTCGCGGAAAAGGTGCCCCTGCATTTCGAATCCATGTTAAGAAGAAGAAGACAACATAGCTAGAGGAGCCTAGGAGCGCTAATAAAGGTTACGAAGTCTTATACATTATGAAGTAGAAACCGAAAACGCATGACGATGGCTGAAGATATATATTTTTTTAACATGGCATTGTTTTTGTACTGCGGAGCCAAGCCTCTGCTTTTTACCTGCGCCACATGTATTTATTTACTACACAGTTAAAGTTACTTACTTTTAGTAGACCAATTGGTTCATACTTTGTTCACTAGCTTAACGTTAAAACAAATAAATCAATATTCATTTTTAAGCGTCTACTTGTCTATATTTATATAAAATGGTAAAGTTTAATCAATCAGTTCCGTATGGATGATATATTGTTTTGGTTTTCATTTCATACATGGAAAACGTTTGTTCATATTTCACGGTTTCGGTTATAGTAAAGCTAGCACTTTGGCATATATAAACTCGTATATGACTATAAAACTAGACATATCCAAGGCTAAGATCTAGGAGTATGCACTTTAATCTTATGTGGATGATATGCACTATACAAGGAGTACAAAAATGTCGAGTTCCAAAAATAAAGCAAGGCCCAGCAAGGACGTCAAGGGTCGTCGGTTAGGGCATTGCATCAGCAAAGTAGCCTGAATTAAATTTTGGCACCATGGCGTCAATCTTCTTGACGATCGTATTGAGTGACTCCCGAGACATCTCGTAGAGCGTGTTGAGTGAGATCAGGCGCAGGCCCTGCTGGTTGCACACCTCGATCACGGACCATTTCTCAAGCAGCTTCAGGCAATTGCGCACCGAGTCCGTCGATATACTCTCAGCTGGAATACAAATTTAAATTAAATAATACCCCGCAAAGGTATTGCAAATGTCCTTACCATAGATGCAGCTGCCACGCTTGACCTTGCCGGTCAAATCGTTAATCACAAAACTAATGAACTCGGACTCCAGCATAGAGTTCCGGTGGAGAATTTGCAGAGAGTGCGCTACAGTCACGTATGTCCATGCAAAGGGTGCCAGCACCTCGCAAATGTAACGCTGCTGCTGCAGGGTTTCGCTAGCGAACAGCAACTGTGTCTCATCACCATCTCCGTTGGCAACGTGCAGGTAATCATCCTCATTATCGTCGTCGAGACAGTCAGCGGCGAGACTGCGAGCCAAGCGCTTGGATTCCCCAGTATTTTCGGACTCAGGCAACTAATAATAAAAAAATTATTATTTCAATCTTAAAATGAATTAGGTCTACAAGGACTACCTGCTCTGCACAGATGCATCCACTAATCAAAAGGTCGTCCAAATTCTTGTAAAGCATGCTCTCCAGCACTTGTGTGGGCTTGTTCAATATGAACTCATAGCGATAGATCTGACAGTTCTCTAAGGCTGTGTCTATCAACTTCTTGCGCGACACCTTGGCTTCTTTTTTGTTCTCCCTCTCCGAGAGCAGCGCGTGGAACGTGGTCAGTAGTATTGAACTAAGGGCAAAGTGCGGGGTAAGCATGTTAGAGTAGTAGGCCAGCTCGATACAGCTTTCCACAGAATTCACAGCCCGAATGACTAGGCGACCGTTCTCATCTCGAGTGCGAGTGACTAGACCTGGAATACAAAGTCAATTAAACAAGCTGTTAAACACGCATGCAGGAAGCGCATTAGCTACCTGAGCCAAGCAGGTCGCAGGCGTATGCCAGGATCTGGGAGGATTCACCGGAAAAACCAATGTCCTTACAGCCATACAAAGAGTTTCGCAAGTCGTCCAAGGCTGCGGCGAGCATTTGCTCCTCGGCACCGTTCCGGTAGCGGGTGAGCAGCAGGAAAGCGAGCGCATTGGTAGACATTACCGAGGTGGCTGAGGCACAGTCGAAGACCACCTGGCGAGAGATGCTTTCGATGAGATTGCGGTGCTCCTCGCACACCACATCGGTGCCATACAGCGAGGAAGTAGACTGATTGTGCTGGAGTGTTCTAGAATTAAGATAAGAAAATTATCGATGGTATTCGAAAATGACAAGCAGTTGGTCATCGTACCTGGCCGCTGGTTTGTATACCTTGGCCAAGTTGCCATCCTCCCGAGCGATCTTGTTGTACGAGTTGACCAGCTCGCGTATCGAGTACGGCTCGTTGAAGTCGATGCGCATTAGGCCGTAATTTGAGCGAAGAGCCTTCCATATGCCTGAAATGGCCTTGCTGAAGGACTCGGGTATTTTCTTCTCGCCCTTTTGTTCCCGCACGAAATTCCCGTCCACCAGTCGTTCGTAGTTTACCGACACGGGTACCAGCAAGGCGTCCGGTATGCTGCCGTCCATGAAGGCGTTCACGATCACAGATAGGATGCCACCCTTCGGCATGCAAGGTTTCCCGGTACGCGTCCGTCCACCCTCGATGAAGAATTCGACGTTGTGACCCTGCTTCAGAGCGTGAGTAAGATACAGATGAAGAGCGGCTCGATACAGCACGTCCTTCTTGCCCTCAACTGGGTCGATCTTGCGCTTGATAAAGAAGGCGCCAAGTCCGCGCAGCAATCCCCCGAAGACGGGTATCTGCAAATTATTGCCGGCGGCTACCAGTGGGCTGCGTATATCATTGTTTGTGAGTATCCAGGTAACCATTATGTAGTCCAGATGGCTGCGATGCAGCGGCACAAAAATCAAGGGAGTGCCTGGTGACTTTTCGGTGGCAGTCTTGAGCATTTCGATCTGCTTGGTGTTCGTCACGACGCCGGATAGGAAGCACGGCAGCAGCTTATACAGGATCCAGGATGTAAACGCCAGCAGACCATTGTTTAGGGTAGAGCCCATGTCCCTCAGAATGCTGATGGCGCGTTGCTCTTGCTTGCGTAAAATGGCTTGGTACGAGATGCCCTGCTTCTCGTCCTCCTCCTCCGCTGCCGCCGACTGATCACCGCTGGCGCTACGAGTGAGCAGCCGATGACCGTTTTTGGCGTACCGCTGCTCTCGGAGCGTCTGCTCGGCTGCCTGCTTGATAGCGTGCTTGAGGACGACATCATTGTGTACGATTTCGGTGACCTACGAGACGAAAACAGGTCGAGTTTAGCGCGCACTTTCCACGGCGTCAAATGGAAAAGCTCACCTGTCGGTACTCGAACTTCTCACTACGCAGTACCTGCGCCACATAGGGAAAGAGGACGCCCCAGTCTAATAGCCTCTTGAACGGTTTCTGGCCCGACTGCGGGGTGAGCTCCAACATGTTCTGGGTTCCGATGCCATGTGCCACCGAGTTCTGCACTTTGGGCTCCTGTAAAGAAACGATCAGAGCGAGATGTTGTGATGCAACTGGCGCACATATATATAAGATGTGGGCGAGTGAAATGTTAATACCTCGAACCAGCCGCGAGCGTGAAACTCCTCCACACCCATTATTGACGCGGAATTCTCCAATTGTACTTGAACTTTTCAGAATTTCAAAGACGAGATGGAACAAATCCATGCGCCCGGCTTTTTTTGCAAGGAAATGAGCGATAGGCCGATAGGTCCTGCATAGCTTTCAGGACTGTTATCGATTGCCAGGATGGGGTGGCAACACTGTGCGCGTTTTAAAATTTTAAATCAGCTATTGAAAATTCATTGAGTGGAAAAATTTTCTTATCTCCGATACTCTATTTTTCATGCCAGAGGCTTTTTTAAAAGGTGTAACGAAAAGTTAGACCCCATTACTTTTAATGTAAAAATAATTATACTTCATAAATTCGTTTTTATAAGTGTTTTTTAAGTTTCCATTTTATACTTAAGTTAAGCCGGTTTAAATTTATGACCACTTAAACTGCTGCAAATACAATTTAGTTATCTTAATCACCGGTATATAAAAATAATGTGATGATAAACCGTGCAAAAAAGTTATATAAATAATTTATTGCCCGAAATTGTATTTGGACTTTTAGAAACCGCCTATACTTTTTAACAATTATAAAATTTATATTATGTACCTCCTCTTACGAGACTCTGGCTACGGCCCTGCTGGTGCGTCATAATACTATATGCCTGTGGGGTTAATGGGTAATGATTGGTGGCTGATAGACGGGGAAACTTACATTGGATGAGCGCAGCGTGACCAGGAGGTCGCTGCGTATGGTGTTGATCTTGCCCAGGGACGAGCGGTAGCTCAGATTCAGGTTGGGAAACAGACCAGCGATGATAACGGGTGCCCTGCAATTGAAGAAGCGCACAATCAATCAATACAATGCAATAAACCCGTCGTGGGTGGTGCTGAAATCAGGAGTACGCAATTAAAAATACGGCACCTCTCTCAATTAATATTCGACCACTTGAACAGGGTATAGTCCAACATCGCAAGAGTTCAATACCCGCTGGACAAGGGAGTGTGCGGATTTTTATATATTTATTTATATGGAAACGTACACCAGTTTTTAAGTAGTGCCTGCTACTGATAAGTGGTTAGTTGTTCATAAAATATGGCACAGAACTGAACTTTGAGCGTGCTTTGTATGGCGGAATCATCACTCGAAAATCAGCTGATGTTGGGCAGAGGCTAGGCGTGCATGCATTTGTAAACATTACTATTTTTATATATACATACATATATTAATTTTATTAATCATTAGCTACCCTTGAACCTTTCCTGTAGTAAATATTGTTTCTAAGTTAATATGTGAATTTATTGTTATTGTAAATAACAATACTCGGCTTACTTTGCAATGTCCGTTAAATACCCATTTCCATGGGTATTTACTTTGTAAGTTTTATAAAAATCACGTATTTCCTACCACTTTTAAATAGCCACATTATTTTGTTTGCGCTATATATTTTTATAAAAATAAGTGACAGGCACAAGCCAAAAAACAAATTGCATAATTGATTAAATGGAATGAATTTAAAATTATATGTGAGATTTGTTTGGGATTTCAAAATTGCTCCAATCGATAATTTCTAAAATCGATTTATCAATGTTTCCATTAAATATTCTAAATCGCCTAGCCAGTGTTACCACACACAACAGGATAAGATCCGTTAGATTTCTGAAGCCAGCTAGTCGTTTGTTTAATTGATTTTGCGTCGCAAAAGATAGATTTTATTATGTTTCGGCTTCACTGCAACAAGTGCTTTCGCAACCGCAACCTTGAGCCGGCCTTAACCTTCCACTTTTCGCGGTGCCATCACATTCTCTGCGCTAGATGCCTGGACGACGCCTCGAATGGCCAGCAGTGTCCGCTTTGCAGTCTAACGTTGCAAACAATCCCCATCTCCGGGAACATGCCCAGTGGCATGGCCCAGTACTTCGAAGACCCCAATAAGTTCCTGCAACTGTATCGCAAGATCAGCAAGTTCCAGTGCGATCAGCGGGCGTCGGACAATTTGGGATTCTGGCGCCAGACGCAAGATGAACAGGCCATGGAGCTGCAGCTCGAGGGCTTTGGAAAAATGGAGGCGCAGCTTAACCAGCAGATTAACTTGGAGAAAATGCGCATAGCGGAGATGCGTGACTACATCTCTTATCACGAGCAGATAGCGCGACGTCGCAGCATGGACGACTTCAAGGAGCTGAAGACAGCCCACAAGCGTCGTCGGCCACGGACCCCCTGTTTCAATTCCTCGGATAACACACTGTCGGACGAGTCGCTAGGTGTTAGCTTTTGCCTGGATGCGGGCATGGATTTCCCAAAGGAGCAGCTTAATCTGGTTAAAACCCCTACAATGACCACCTCCGAGGACTCGGATTTTACTGTTTAACATTATCTTATCAAGTAAGACATAACTTTAGCTATTAAGAAGGGAGCCAACCTTCTTGTGTCTATAAATCTTTCATATTATCATATCATATTTCATTAATATATTCAAAATATTTTGCTTTACTATCATATAACTTGCGATCTTTGGGGATCGATCTTTTTGTGTTATTAGGATAAAACTTACTAGATGAGAGGACCACGATACACGATACTATTTATTTAGATTTTCCTAAGATATCTTACCTACTAGGAAATATGTATAAATAACATCTTAGGCGAGGCTATGAAAACCTCCGCTCTGAAAAGCATAAACTAAACAGGGACTTAATCACACTATACGGACTAATCTGAGTAGTAATCTCGGAGTACTCTCAATCTCATCTCAGGCTGTGGAAAATTTCAGCGGATTAAGCCACTTGAATGTATATTAGTCTTCGCAGGGGGCCGCCTGTTTCTTTGGTAATTAATACGCCGCGTTATTTAGGGGTGTAGGCCGAGTAGGAATTTTATGGCCGATACGAGATGCGGTGCCACTTTCTTTGTGGCCCGAAGCTGGTCGAAATCCAGCGAGATTACGGAAATAGCTATTGTTAAATCTTAATCAGATAATGAGGTGCAAATTTAACAGCGGCAATCTCACCGATAATTGTTGCCAAGAATGATTTTGCGGGCCAAGTCGAATAGGTGTGGGGGTTTAGTTGTTATCTCTTCGAGTGCAACATCGGCAATTGCGCCCCGCGAGACCGCTGGGTGGGTGAAAGAAAGGGATGGTGTGGGAGCTGGGTGCTCGGAAGAAAGTGTTACTGCTGGGGTAAACAAAAACACGATTGACGTCACCGAACAGATGACCCTAGAAGACAGCCTCCCCCTAGTCTGAATCTACCCCATTAACACGTGGATGATAGGCGGAAATTTATACTTCTACACTATGGAGGCCCAAACGCATGCGTAAGTAGACAAAGGGCCGTGAGTCATGGCCATTGGAGCAACCACCTGTGCGACCAATAACAAAACAAAGCATATCCACAGTTGAAACTCACTAACTGAAACTTGGCTTATCACATGAAAACTTTGTACTTTTGCATTCTTTTTGGAATTATTTTTACTGGTTATTTGTGGAAAAAGATAAGACTATGTCATTGAAAAATCTATATATTTGCTTTGTTAAATCTTGATTTTGATTAAATCAAATAAATAACTTTGTAATAATATAAACAAAACCATTTTTAACTTTGAAACTCATAATTGTACACCAGGAAAGGATACTTTTTCCATGTTCAATTCGCATAAATATTAATTAGAATCATTTTTGAACAGTGTGTAGTTTTAAATTACAATTTAAATTAAAATTTAAATAACAACAATGTACGATACAGTTCTTATCAAAATAATCTCTAGCACCCTTTATACCAGTGATTTGGTTAATGTATTTATAATATATTCTATTCTATATTCTAGGTCGAATCAAAAGTTTGACTTAGTCTAGTCTGACTGTGGTTCATTTTGCATGCATTGGATAACTTGCGAAGTGCTCGTCTAAAAATAACGGCGCTTCTTCCTCAGCCGCGTTACTTAAACTATGAGGAGTAGGAGGAGCAGGGGCGGGCGGTATGGTCGGTTAATAGGTGCCCGCAAGGCGAGATTTATTTGGCTTCCATTGGCACTGCAGCCCACGAACACTCACCTCGTCTTGGCGAATATGTAGTAGACAATAAGGGCAACTGATGCAATCTCGATGCCGCCGAGCAAAGAAATCTCGGCGACGCGCTGGGCAAAGTTCAGGACGGTCGTCAACATGGTTATGTATGTGCTGCGCTATGCTGGACTCCCTTCCAAGTATCAGCCGGCGGCCAAGTGATCGGAAGTACTCTCTGATTTCCGATGTGGACCGACCCTGGTGATTAAACCAGCGACCAGCGGCGACCCTTTAGTGTCTGCGACTAGTGCAAAAAAATATGGAGACGCAGAAAAACGGCGCGCGTCCAGCGCTCTCTGCTCTCTCTACTCTCCGACAGATGACAGCTGCTTCTGCTCGCTCGGTGCTCCGATTGGTGGTGGTTGGCTATATTATTGCGTTCTACTCAATATAACCAGACATTTGTTGCGACCCGCACATGAAAAGATCGTATGATCCGTGGCTTGGCTTGCCGTCCGAGATTACCGCCCGATAGCATATATTTTTTGGCCAGCATCCGATGCAGCGAACAAAAACCAAGCTTATTTCCGAAACCGGTCCGGCTAGCTGGTTGGTTATTGCTCGAAATTACAGCGACGGTTAATTGAATCAAGTGCGCGTCGCGTCGTCCTTTATTCTTTGGCTGCCTTTGTTGTTTTTATTCGGACCGGGAGCGGGTATGGGATTGCGATTCACTTTTTGCTGCTGATGCGCGACATTCGACCGCGCAGCTCAAGCGTTTACCGTGGAATAACGTCGGCGGCGTCGCTCGACGCTTAATTAAATGCCAATTAACGTGTGACAATAAATATGTACGGTCGGCGTGGCAAGCGAACGTGCACGAAGACCGAGATCGGCGCAGTACGAAGATAACAAAAGCTACAGCCACACAGCCACCATTATCAGTGAGAACGAGTGATAATAGATCACTCGAGCAGCGAGAGAGAATCTCGAGGCGGAGCAAAAAGAGAGCGGTACTAAATGTGCCTAAGACTAAGAGTTTAATATGTATTACTTTCGCTCTGTATTATGAATAAAATTCATACAGCTTTTGTAGTTTATTATAATATAAAAGTGTGTCAGCTCTATACGGGGAAAGTAAGTTACTTCTTCGCTGGCTTCTTGGCGACGACCTTCTTCTTGCGGGCGGCCAGGAGCTTGGCGCGGTTGGCCGCGGCCTTGGTGGCCACGTTGGCGAAGTGTGACTTGGCCAGCTCCACGTTCTGCTTCTTGGCCTTGGCCAGAACCTTGGCCACGGTACGCTTCTCGGCGGCGAGGGCGGCACGACGCTTCAGGACCTCGGCGTAGGGGTTCAGCTTGACCAGCTGGCGCACGTTGCTCAGGGGGTTGAGGCGGCGCTTGCTGCGGAACACGCGCTTGCGGGGATCACGCAGCACCTTGCGGATCTCCTCGGACTTGAGCAGACGCGACAGATCGGTGTTGGCCATCTTGGGCTGGGGCAGGTTGTAGCCCTTCTTCAAGGTAGCTGGCTTCTTCCAGGTGCCGAACAGATCGTTCAGGCGCGCGAACGCAGACTCGGTCCAGATGACGAAGCGACCGACATGGCCGCCGGGAGCAAGCTTCAGCAGGTTAAGCTTGTCAACGCTGATGGTCTCGATTCCGGGGATGTTGCGGAAGGCCTTGCGCAGACCCTCGTCCTTGTGGTAGACCACCAGGGGACCACGACGGGCAATGCGGCGACGGTCGCGCATGGTACCACGGCCAGCACGGAAGCGCTGCGACTTGTACACCTGTTGGAGGGATAGAAGGATTAGAATCAAGCAATATTTCCAGACTAGTCATTCTTAAAAACGTAATTCAATTTATCAATTTAATTCAACGATTATGAAGGTATTTAACATGCGTTTAGCTCAATCTCGGAATCGATTTTAAAACAAATATTTTGCATGCATTGAGCTGTAGCTCTTCCGTTACCGCGCTGGAAACTTTTGATCAGGTTTCAAACGCAACGCCTAGAAGAGCAGTTTATCTGGCAACGCAGGAACCCTCGCAAACATCTGACCACCATGGAGTAAGCCAGTTGTTTACACGCTGCCACTTTTAAAATGTATAAATAATCACAAATATTAGCACTTTAAATTTCAATCACTCCCATCTCGCGGTCTCCAACTGACGAAGAATCTTAAAATCACAAGATTATCTGCATTTGCCATAAGGTTGGCATGCTGTGTTGCCAAGTTATGTTTCCGAAGCAAACAATATTGAAATTCAAGGTCATTAAAGCTTTTTAGCAAATTAGAATATGTTTACACGCCACTGAACCGGTTTCTTGAGACTCCTTACTCCACTTCAATACGCACCTTCTGGATGTCAGCCCACACCTTCAGGCGGCGCAGGAAGATGACAGCCTGCTTGGTCTTCTGGACCTTCTGTACGTCATCGGAGACGACCAGGGGGATCTCAGACACTCCATCGATGACATGACCCTTGGACTGGACCAGGGCGGGCACGCCGGAGGCGGCGATGGCCGACACCAGGGCATAGCGGCGCTGGTTGACATTCACCTTGCGGTGCCAGCGACGGAAAGTCTTGGTGGGGGCGAACATGCGTCCACCACGGCACATGTTGCCGAAGGCTCCCTGGCCGGAGCGGTGGGTGCCGCCACCGCGGACACGGGGAATACGGGCCACGGCACGTCCAGTGCCCCAGGACTCGGCAGAGGTCTGGTGACCTGTGTAAATGAATTGTCAGTGTTAGTCCAGGCTGTCACTTTCATTTCAAACGCATTCCACTTACCGGCCAGCTCGCTCACGGCATAGGGCTGACGGTTGTTGCGGCGCATCAGCTGGTGCACCTCGTTGACCACATCCGGACGGATGGGAGCCTTGAACACGGCCGGCAGGCAGATGTTCTTGTCCTTAGCAGCCTCGTTCTTTTCCGTGTACACGGAGACCAGAGGCCTAGCGTTGCCTAAGCTCTGAAAGCAGTAAAAACGATTCCGGGTTTAGTTGAAGTTAGCATCACAACACTGCATTTCGCCACCGCCGCACATTCCAAACACGTGGAGGTTAGCTCGCCACTTTCGCACTATTTTCTGCCCGATTCGTGTGTAAAACCCACTGTGTTGGCGTCCCCGGCGGTCGCGGCGCGTATCCCGCTCGCATTCTCACCATTTTCGTTGAATTTCAAGTCCAATGAATGCTGTTTAAGATTCTGCAAACGCAGATACCGTCCTCTTTTTATTAAGAAGAACGAAGAAAGAAAGAGGGCGGCCGGAAGTGCCGTAAAAGTGCTGGGAAACGCGCTCGGAGCGCAGGGCTGCATTTGCTAACAGCTCTGAGTGTCAAGTCAACAGCGCCTGGCGCGTTGTTCAGCACTGTTCGTTAAATAACAAATGCATTTTACATTCTACATGAGAATTCGACACCAAAAACAAGAATTTGACCCCAAAAATGAGTATTCGACCCCATGTATCTGTAAACGTGTAAAAGGTTAAATATGAAGTAAAATGTTAAATAACACCTTCGAAAATTCAGAGTGACCAAAGAGTGACAAAAAAGAAACAACATCAAAACAAAAAAAAATTGTCCCGACAATTTTTGATTCTACAAAATCAAAGTAATAATAATTAATAAATGGCCGGCGAAGTAATTGTTGACGCTTTACCATACATTGATCACGGCTACGACGATGTGGGGGTCAGGGAATCGGTAAGTGGATGATGCTATTAGTCTTTTGTAGCTATAATTTTCGATTTTTAAGGCCCTTGCCATGGTGGAGGAGGAGTGCCGACGCTATCGCCCTACAAAGAACTACCTAGACCACCTGCCGCTGCCGGCAGCCTCGCCATTTGAGACCCCGCTGATGGTCAACGAGTTCGAGCGAATCCAGAACCGCCTGCCCATGGAGACGCTCTCCATGAAGCGCTACGAGCTGCCCCCGCCTCCGTCCGGGAAGCTGTCCGAGGTGTCCGCCTGGCAGGAGGCCATTGAGAACTCGATGGCTCAGCTTGAGCACCAGTGGGTACGCTCCCTCAATCTGGAGCTGATGCTTGACTACGGCACGGAGGCGTGGAAGTCCTACCTCGAGGTGTTTACCGCCATGCAGGCGAAGGCGCAGCTGCAGCTGCAGCAGCTGAAAAAGGATATCCAGGACGTCAACTGGCAGCGCAAGCAGGCACAAACACAGGCGGGCGAGAGACTGCGCTCCCTGGAGGCCCACTGGGTGCTGCTGGTGTCCAAGAACTACGAGATTGAAACAGAGTCTGCGGAGCTGGAGAAGCTTGTCCATGCCGCCCGCCAGAAGCTGGAGAGCCTTGCTCCGCCAGCAAGTGCGAATGACACGGCTCCTACTCCGGAGCACACCAATGGATTTGGTCAGGACGAACAGGACGAGAGCAATTCGAGTGCTAGTAATAGCAATAGCAATGATGCCAATGAAACTGGGGGCCAAGACGAGGACGAGAAAGTCGAAGCTACAGCTGAGGCCCAGGATGAATCAACTAACGAGTCAGCTTAGATATATTTCCAACTTTGAATAAACAAATTAAAACGACGCATTCTAGTTTTCTACTTTTTTATGGTTATGATTAAAATTTATTTTAATTAAATTTTCAATGGTGTGACCATCTTTGGTTTTTTTGTTGTAATTTTTTAGGCTGTCCCCAGAATGTGGTATTTTCAGGCGTTTTGCCGACGGTCACACTATAGTTACGCTTGCGCAGACATTTTTGTTGATTTACAAAAATTAAAGAAAAAACCGCATCAACTAACCAGTGAAGGCTTTTTAACAGTGTCAACATGAAGTTGAACCCAAGAACAACCTGGCTGAAAGGTATATAAAGGGCTAGAAAAGTGTAACAAAATACGCCTGCCACTCTAGGCACTCGTGATTGTGTGTGTGCCTGCCATTGATTACATAGTTGGCATAGGCGAGCCGCAGGTGCGAGCGAGAGGGCCAACGTGCAGCATCCACATCCGAAAAAGGGGCAGCAACAGAAACTGCATTCCATTCCCCGAAAGCAGCAGCCCCAGCCTGGATCCATGAGAAAGGTGCGTATGGTACTATCGCCAGATGTGTGCCACGATAAGCTTCTAGTTTCCTTTTCACCGTCCCAGTGAGCGCCATGCATCACCATCATCCGCCGTTGCCTATAACTGGCGTTTCCTCGACCGCCGTCGCCGCAGGAGGTGCTGACTCCTCGCAAGCAGCTGCCACCGGACCGACGGCCCCTTCAGCCACAACGTCTAATTCAAGCACCCAGCAGCAGCAGCGACGACGCAAAAAGCGACCCAATTACAACTACAATGGCATCCGCACCGTCGAGGTTCGCAGGGGCTACAACGGCTTTGGATTTACCATCTCCGGACAGCAGCCCTGCCGTCTGTCCTGCATCATCAGCAGCTCGCCCGCGGAGCAGGCCGGCCTGCGTTCCGGTGACTTCCTCATCTCCGTGAACGGCCTGAATGTCTCCAAGCTGCCGCACGAAACCGTAGTGCAGCTAATTGGAAACTCATTTGGCAGCATCCGGATGCAGATTGCCGAGAACTATTACTCCGACAGCTCGGATGAGGAGAATGCCAACGCCACCCTAAGGGGTCAACTCCTGGCCGCCAGCTTGAGGCACAAACCGCGCTTCCTGCATCACAAGGCCAAGCTGCATAGGCTGCGCAACTCGCCGCAGAAGAAGCTGCCTCTGCCGGAGGCAGTAGAGCCAAGTCCAAAACCATCCTCTGATCATCTGACCCTCAGACCAGTGCTGGAAGATGCTCCGCTCGTGGCCAGTCTGTCCAAGGCGGCAGATGTGGCTAATGTCAGCGCCATGGTGCGAGCGGTGGGCAGCGCTGCCTTGGAGTACCGCGTTATGGTTGGCTATTTGGGGACCATCGAGATGCCCAAGCAAATTTCGCACAGTTCCAAGCTGCAAACGGTGCGCTCATGCATTCGGAAGCTGCGCCAGGAGAAACGTCAACCCACCATCGTGCTCATGTGCATCACACCGGACAGCCTGAGCCTGCAGAGCGCCGGCGGCGGAGTCCTGGCCACGTACTCTTCGGCGAGACTGAACTTCGTTAGCTCGTCCTCGGAGAGCGAGAACCGGTTCTTCGGCTTAGTGACCAGCGCGGTGCACAACACCCAGATTGAGGAGGAGTACGAGCCGAGCGCCGGCAGCGGAGCAGCTGCTTCTGGCCACATCAGCATCTCCCACAGCTGCCATGTGTTCGTCATCGATACTAAGCTGATTGAGCATGCCCAGCACATGCAGCGAGCCCACGAGTTCCGGCTGCAGTGCACCCGAGACCCCATCTCCAATTTGTGCCTTGAGTTTCCCAACAACTCGGAGTACGTGGTGAACCTGGTTCGCAGCATGTACACCATGCGCATCTTACCGCCGGCCAGTCGCAGCCACCAAGCGGACTACGAAGCAGGAGCTGGAGTCGCTGGAGCCGCTGCTCACTCACCGCAGCCCTCGAATCACAGTGAGATATCCACCACCACCTCAAACTCTGACTCGGGCATCGGATTCAACAACGATTGCACCAATATTTCGGATCGTATTCTGGTCGTGGACTTCCTGGGAGCCGAAGCAGGAGCAGCACATGCCGGACCGCCAACACATCCGGCGCCAGCTCGGCCGTTGGGCATTGTGGGTATTCCGGACAACCGATTGACTGTGCGGGCCATGCCCGATCCATCTGGCCATCCAAAGTCGCCGCCAGGAAGCTCTTCGCTGCGTCGACCCAACCTCCTGGCCAGCTTCAATCTTATTAAGAGTCCGGCCACGAATCTCACGTCCACGCGCTCTTGTGATGATGTGTTGAATCTCTTCGTGGATGATTCGCCGCGTGCATTGGGCGCTGTGGCCTCCATGGACGACATTTCCCTGCATTCGGCCGCACCTTCTCTAGATGAGGCACACACCTTTGCCCATCCATCATGTGTGCCCCGAAAGATACGCAGATCCTTGATAATGGAGGCTCCCTCAACACCACACAAGCTGAGTGCCCAGGTCTTTGGACAACCTGGTTCACGTCACTCCCTGGGATTCGAGGCCATCGACAATGTCCAATCGTCGTCGGCCAGTGTGACATGCATCGATCAGGCCATGGATACATGGGCCAGTCTACAGAACCTGCACAAGTCACACAGGGAACGAGCCAGTCTATCAGCGTCCTCGTCTACGCATTGCCTATTAGAAGCTACCAATAGTGAACCGGATCTTGGGGTAAGTGATTTTCTTTGGAAATTTTCTACATTTATGACATTTATCATTTTTTAAACAATGTTTAAATTTAATCATATAAGTTATGGCACTTTCTGGGGTTCCTAGGAAAGCTAAATAATTACTTGAGGGGTTTTTTGAAGGTTTTTTTTAATGAACTTTACACTTTAACTAAAATATTATTGAAAATTCTTAAATGATTCAACGCTTGTAAAGCCCCCAATCTTTTCTCCAAATATTTATAGTGCCTTGTTTTCAAACCCTCTACCTTTTTGAACCGTTCCTGTGTGCAGTCAAAAATCTGTTTACCTGGACGCCGCCTCGAGTTATCTGGGTTCTCGGAGCTTATCGCCCCGCTCCGCTCCTATTCCACTCTCTGGGCCGCAAAGATAAGCGGCCAAAACTCTCGCACGCTCTCCGAGTCCCGGTGTCCATATATTGGCGTTTCCTTTGTCATTCGTTTGCCGGGCCTTGCTTCGTCCGGAGTTTCAGTAGCCACAGTGACGCTTTGGCAATAGGTGGCCAATTGTTTCGGTTTTTGTGTTTTAACGGTTCCCCTAGGATTTATAGCCATTACAATTGGGAGTACCTACTCCTCCTCCTCCTGCTCGTCTGGTGGAGTCGCTCTGATCGGTATTATCTGGGGAGCGCGTCATGTGTGATAAGAGCGGAAATAGCCGGCTAAAAATAGAGTGCTTCGCTCCAATGACGTCATAGGCGTAGGTCACGACGACTGTAAAGCCCGAGAGCGCTGGAGCAGCTGCGTCGACGCCTCCTGGGCCAGCGAGCTTAATTCAATCTAAAGCAATTAATGGCGTCGACGTCTGATGACCTTTTCGCTGCCGCCGCTGTGGGTCCCCAATCTGCCGATTCCCATTCCCATTCCCGTACCCGATCCCAAACCGAATCCCCGATGTTTTCGTCGTTTCTTCGTAATTTAGTTTGATTTTCGATTTGACAAAACACGCGATTCTGTACGATTTGGTCACCCGTTGCGGTTTCGCTTTCGCTGTACCGGGATTGTTTACTTCGTGCGTGGAAATTACAAATAAATAAAATTACCTTCGCGAAAAGCTGCTCCATAAAAGGTTCATCGGCAGTTCAAGGAGCAGTTGTGACTGAAATAAATATATATAAATTCTCATTACGATAAAACAAGAAACAAGAAGGAACAAAGTCTGGCGGAGTAAAACGTGTGCGACAAATTGCAAGTTCAATTGTGTGAAAAAATAAATTTAACAACAAAAAAGTTAAACAAACAGGGCAAGCAACCAAGCCAGCTCAATGCAAAAATGTCATTTCGAGAACTCGTTTGTGGCCTGTACTCGGAGGAGAGCCCGAACCCGGTAAGCTGACAACATGTGGATATATCTCACACTTATCATTGTTTTCCCACTGATCAATGACGGCGACTACACCCCCGAACTTCCCCGGAAAATGAACTTGTCAGGCGGAATTGACCTTTCAGTCTCGAACCTGTGATTTAGAGTGCTTTTGAAGTTCCATTTATGGAAAATGTTACTCATTGTGTCAGTTGCTATTAGCTTAGCTTTATGCCCGGCTGACTTTGCAACCGATTCATTCATTTATCGCAGGGCTCCCTTATCCTACTTTTGTACAATGTTTCGGGGAAATATATGTGAGCAAATGTATTTGTTATTTTAGAATTAGTAATCTCCGTTGAATGTTCGTAGGCTTTCGTGTGTTTACTTATTTCAGCACGTTCTTACACCTTCGATAGCATGCACTAGTTGCCTTCTCATGGTCGTAATCAGCAAACAGTGCCTCCTTTGTCTACAATCTTTTTATATTGTGACACCTGCACAAGTGTTAATTAAACAATCCTGATTAAACTCAACTGAAGGTAAAGCAGAATGAGTTAGAAGACTTGTTAAAATATATCACTTTAACCAAACAAATATTTATATTGGTTAATGTCATGTTAATTAATTGACATCTATTTATATCGACTTTAACAAGTCGATCAATCATTGCTTTATCTGAAAAACACCTGCCAGAGCCATTTTAGGTTGAATTAAATTAACAAAATTTAATTAAAACTAGTTCAATATATAAATTCGATTGTAGCGTGTTTAGTTTTAAAGATTTCCACCACGATAACAACCAATTGACTAATGGGTGAGCCAGTGTCAGGTGCCCTTTTGACCCCATACCACTACCGCGGTGACTTGACTTACTTCTAGTCTTTGCCGGCACGCAATCCGGAACATAGTTGGGCCGGCTGTTCCAACAGGTTGACTTTGCTCTGACGGCATTTTGGCGGGCAACCTGCGCGGCTTCCCTTTTGCGTCAAGGTGGAGTGGCACATGCCGTCACAGGTGCATAAGGGAAACAACCCTCGTGCTGCAGTGGACACTGTAGGAAATTAAGGAAGTCAGGGAAGGGAGGATAGCCTGCCAAACGAACGTTACTTACTCGGTTTCCCTCTTGGCCAAGCGGATCGTCATGGGAAATGGGCTCGGCTAGAACACTTGACTTTGGCCAGCGGTTTGGGTAATTCAAGTTGGTTGTTTTCTTTGTGGAGCTGTTAGCCACGAAGCGGCCTCTGTCTGCGACTTCTGTTACCAAGGCTTAGGAATTTGTAACGTATTTGCCGTATGACGCACGTGGGAATGGGAAAACCTTAGAGATACATATTCCTAACCGAATGTATCTACAGTCGCATGGCTGCAATCATCATCAGTGGCTTATCAGTAGCTGCTCTGTGCCAAATGCCAAAGTGACAAAACAATATATTTATTTTTAAACTGCATTATATTTAGCTGGCTCAACATAACCGCCTGTGTGATTGCCTTTGTTTTTGGGGCTCCATGTTTTGATAGCAGCGAAAACAAATGAACGAATAAGAGCAGTGAATGGGGCTGACGGTCCGAAGTACGTCAGAAACGTTGCTAATAATAAACACCTTGCGCTCCAGGCACGTAACCTGCCAATTGATATAGCCCAAAAGCAGTTGTCTGAAAAAACCCGCGGCAGACACCAAAGAAAGATCTGGCCAAAAGGGCCCTTGCAGAGCGATCACATGATACCCTCCAGATGACAGACTCCAGCTCTTTGCGGAATTTCCATGCAGTAATTAAAGTCAAAAAGGTTTTAAGCGGAATTTAAAATGGGTTCAAGAGTATTAAAAAAAAGCATTCATTTGTTTATAATCAAACTATGCAAATATTACCAATGCAATTGCATTTATTGAGCAATATCTTACGGCTTAAGTCTGAACGACAATCATGCACATAAAAAGTTTGTTATAAATTCTGATATACTTATATTTAAGCGTAAATCAATAACCCTTAATGTGCACATAAAAGTTTAATGCATTTTAAAGATGGAAAATAACCAATTTGTATAAAAAATTCCAGTCACCGGGGTGTATTCAATATTCTTCTCTTCAAGCACTTTATTGCTTTGATCTTTAATTAGAACTATCAAAGCTTTAGTAACTGAATGTAATCGATACGATTTTAAGGATTGGCCACTACAGTGACTCAATGCCGATCATTACAGGGTATAGATAGATATAGTATAAAAAATTAACTACAGTTTCAATTTTGTGCATTCAGCAAGTGCATGGAAAACACCTGACTCGACTGTTCATTTTCCACCCTGTCTTCGAGCTGGTATGTTCAGGTTTTAGTGCTCACTAAGTGACTAAATGATCAGCAGTAAAAACAACAACCAGCGTTACAGTGAGCACTACTTAATAGGGTTCCCTTTTATACCGAAAAAACTCGAAAGAATTTGCATATTTTACAGAAATGTTTACAAAAGTCATACGTACTCTGGTTTTACATTTTAAAATGTAAAGGGGCTTAACAATTTTATAGAAATATATTTAAATTTAGTGAAGAGTAGATAGAAAATTCTCGCTGTCGAAATTGTTCTCTGTACCGAGGTTGTACTGTAACAAGAACAGCGAAAGCGGTAAAGCAGAAAACGCTTGTAAACCGCGCGCATGCGCTCTCTTTCGCTCGCACTCCCTTAGCAGCTGCTGCCGCCGTTTCAGCTGCTCGGTGTTGTTTCTGCTGCCATTGGTAACATGTTGTTGTTGCCTTCGATTTGAGCCAGGTTAACAGCGATCGGAGCTGCGATCGTCGCTGGCAAAACGTGAGTGAGTCAGTCATCGAGCGCAGTTCATTCGATCACAACGTATATTTATAAAACACCTGAGAGTTGTCGAAACTCAAAATTAAATTAGCTGAATAAACAGAACGTTAACTCTGTGAAACACCTTTAACCGGGTTAATTACCCGGACCTAGAACCAAATTATTGTGTACGTCCAGAAGCGATCCATCAACGCCTCCCCTTGAAACGAGAATTCTCGCACTCATCTCATCGCTCAGCATCACCGCAGAGCATCAAATATTGGGTGGGGAAATAAAAACAGCAGTCAATTGAACTTTTGGCGGCCACCAGAAATAGAACGTGCTAAATAATACACAAACATAGACGGTGAAAAAAAAGAAAGAAAAAGATAGAAATGAGAAAAACATGGAAATGTTTTCACCGATTCATAGGCTGTGCGCGAATTCCATTGCACAAAACACACATTCCATTTCCATTTGCCTTGAGATATGCAAAATAATCAAACAAATGAAATCCCCCAATCGACGTCATTGCTAAAAACGCGTAAAACGCGAAAGCGCACAGCATAAAGTCGCCCACGAATCGCCTGCGAAACGCTAGCGACTTCAAATACCATGCGAAATGATAATGGCCAAAATAATGATTCGATTGCCCTGCTGCGGTATTTCCCCACCGATACCAATTTGATTGATAAGTTCGTGTGGGCGTGTCTGAATGTTTTTATAAACTTTTCCCCCAAAAAACACTCAAGAACTTCAAGTGCTGCGAGAGAGAGAGCGAGTCATTCGAAATGAAATGAAATTACCATCTAAATACCAAACTGTGCAATAAAATCGCAAAGTTTTATACGGAATAAATTGCCTGCCACGTTGTTCGACTGTTCCTCGAGAATCCCCTT